CCATTAGTTCAACGTTGGATGCGATGAGTTTGAGGTGTCTGTGAAACATATGAATGTAATGAAGTAGAAGTTTGGGCTAGAGGTGTAACTTTGAGAGTCAGTATATAAATAGTAATTGAAGCCACCAGAATGGCTGAGCATCTCAGTAGAAAGAGTAGAGCCATTGTTTTCAAATCTTAGTGTGCATGAGAATCACCTGAAGAACTTATTTAAAACATAGATTGTTGGACATAGTCTCAGTTTCTAATTCAGTAGGTGTGATGGTTAGTTTTCTGAACTTGGCTAGAAGTTCAGAAGCCTCACAATTCAGGATTCTAGAAGTCTGGCATCACGGTGTCAGCAGGGTTAATTCCTTCTGACAGATGAAGGGAGAATTTACTCCATGCCTCCCACCCAGCTTCTGCTAGTTACCAACAAGGGCATTCCTTGGCTTATAGCTGCATCACTCCAATCTCTGTCTCCCTCTTCTTCCCTGTGAGTAATCCTGTCTCTAAATCTCTCATAAAAATACAAGTCATCGAATTTAGAGTCCACCATGATCCAGTATGACCTCATCTTAACTTGACTACATTCATAAACACTCTATTTCCAAATAACATTACATTCACAAGTACTCACTGTTAGAACTTCAACATATCCTTTGGGGAGACACAGTTCAACCCACAGCACATGGTTTTAGAGAATAGAAGATGGTGTAGGCTAAGGAACCAGATTGACAGGAAGTGTTGAGAGCCCAGATGGGGCTCTGAATTTAGAGTAACACCAGACCTCTTCGGTATGTGAATGAAATGGTGGCCAGGGAATCTAAGCTGAGAAAGAAGAGTCTTGAGAGGAGACATTGGAAGGATAATTGGATTACAAATCCTGAGTTTGTAAAACATTTGCAGTAAGCTGGAAGACTCGAGAGTTGCAGTCACTGAATTGGTGTTTGTATTTGCTGTTATGGAGAAGCAGAGGTGGCTCAGCACAGAATAATACTGTGAGACAGAATAGGTGTTTGAGATGAAGTGAAAGAGACAGAATTGGTGATGAGGACAGAGAACAAAGTGGCCAAAGCTTTCGAGGATTCTCCACCTAGACACCAAAGTTATCTGGGAAGTTGCTAGGATGACCAAGAGTAGAGAAAAGATAAATCAATGAATGAGTGCGATCAAGAAAAGGAATGAAAAGATGACAGTGATTTTTGCCAGTGGGTGTCAGCCTCAAAGGAGCAGGATTTTTTTTTTTTTTTTCATAAAAGAATGAACAATGATCCAGAAACGCCTTGGGAAGCAAAGAGGACCTAAACCCAACAACTGACCCTCGTCTCATAGTAGAGCATTAGAGTACATAGCGAGTACATATAAATTAAAATCTTTGCCATTTTGTTTATTTGTAGAATCATCAAAAGAAACAGATCTGGGTCAGGACGCAGACCATCTTTAATAGGAAAGAGAATCTTCCAAATGGTACGATTACCTCAGGGAATGCAAGGCCATGCCAGGTCCACTCTTGGTTTAAGTGCAAACAGTATAGCCAATGAAACAGTCACAGAATACACACATGGCTGCCAAGGCCCACTCTTATGGGTTGGGAGCCGTACGCAGACAAGTGGGAAATCAGTCGTAAGCTGGGGAGACTGATGTTGCCTTTAGCATTTCTATTCAAAAGATTTTTGGAGACTTTGGAAGACATAATACCATTTTATATGATAAAATATTCCACTTTTATTCAGTAAAATTTATTTTAATATTTTTAAATTATGGTAGAGAGTTGCAGAAATGATAAAGTCTCTAGATCTGAAAAAACTTTGCTGATTGTCACTCTAGGATATAAAATGGAAAAATCAAGGATGAAAGCAACAGGATCAAAGAAAAAAGGAAGATAAATGCATAGAGTATTTGGAGAGCAGCTTGACAAACATTAATTATGTTGGTAAGGGAAAATCTTAAACAGAGTAGGCAAAGAACAGTCAAGGACTTTATACTTGATACAGAAGGAAATGGGAGACTCATTTCAGGTAGGACATAATTCATAATACCTTTAAGCTGCTATATTTAAACTGCATTTTCACGTGTTAATTTTATAATTCCTTACACGATGAGAGTCAAGCAGGGGATATGTACCTGATGTAATAGAGACAACAACAAGGCTGAGACACCTCCTGCCCCACATCATCCAGCTGGCAAAGTGGAGCTAGGGCTGCACCTATGGTTTTGACAGAGCTCTGCTCCTCTTCCACTTTTCTATGCCCAGTTCACTCTCTGGACATAATGAAAGCAGTATTTGAGGAAATGTATTCTGGAAGTGTCAGACAGAGAAGATTAGAAAGGAAGGCACTAAGACAGGAAGCTGCTGAAATACAGGTTGCCAATGCTACTATGCTAAGAACTACATGTGAGGTTGCAGGAGGTTGATCTGAAACATCAAAAGAAAAGACAGGACTTGATCAACAACTTGGATAGAATGAAGAGGGCAAAGGATTAGAACAGGGCCAATCCAATCAACCCGGTACAAAGAATGCCACTGCGGAGGGAATTTATAGATAAGAGATAAGGTAAGAGATAAAGAAGCTAATGAATTTGGTTTAGCATTCTTCAGGTATTTGAGAAAACAGCAAAATATACAGGGTGAGATATAACAATTGGATGTACTCTTTAAAGTTCAGTTTGAACGTTAGAACTGGAAATTTAGATTCAAAAGAAATCGACATTAGAATAGATGAGTTTTATATTTAAAATTTAAGAGGATGGCTCACATCAGAAAAATAAGTGGTAAACAATAAAGGGCATTCCCTAATGAAATTCACTGTCAAAGGTCTTAATTTCCCAGAATATATTTATAAAAATTCAAATTTATTCATTGTCATTTCTCATTTCTTCCTAGGCTCAATTAGAACACCATGGTCTCAGTGAGTGCCTCCATCTCCAGTGGTGAATTAATCTCTTGATTTAAGCAGTCAATTAATTTTTTTATCAAGTAGTTATGTTCTTCAATTGTCTTCCTGCTATACATAAACTAATCCCTTTCCATATGCATCAGGGGAAATTTTCAAAGTGATACATTTGACAATCCTCATCTGGATTTTAATTAAGGCACTAACAAAATGTTACCTGGTATATTTGTGTATAAAAAATCAGCACATGTCAAAAAGAATTTAGATGTCAAAAAAAGAAAGAGTATTCTGGGAGTTTTAGAAGTTATTAATTTCAGGTCTTAGGATAGTGACTAGAAAGCCTTGACAAATTAAAAGTTATATAAAGTTAAAAAATACTTTGGGGGAAATACAATGTTAAACCAAATGCAAAGCAACCCAGTGAAAATAATTTTGAGTTCAAAACAAAGAAATTTAAGGACAGAGAGACAGGTAAAGGTAGCTATTAATTTAAAATAAAATATTCCAGAAACACTATGACTTGCTTTTATTTTATACCCAAGATAGAAGTGACAAAGCATGAAGAGGTAGAAAAATGAAAAAAGGAGAAGCAAAATAACTTAAAATGGACAAACTAGGTAGAAAATGAAAGAGGTAAAGCAAGAATTCTCTTCAATTACAAAGACTATAGTGTTTCAGTCACAAGAAAAAGTCTGAGAGGATGCTTTATCTTCAAATTTATGGCCCCCTCTTTCTTCTAAATCAGCATTCTTACAAAAGGGAAAGAAAGGAATTCCTGATGACCACAATAACTATAGAAGTTAATGTCCATATTAGGGCATTTTGGTCTAGGACAAATGCTAAACTGGGTAAGCTACCAAGACCATTGGTATAATCAGAAGTTATCAGAGACAAACCAAAAGGCATGTAGTAGATTGACTGCAAAAATGGCCATGATTCCTCACCACTCCCTGTATCCCTCCCTATCTTTGGCAGAACAGCTTCACAGCTCTTCCTGTCAAGAGATGAACTTTATTCCCCATATTCTTGACTCTAGTCTAGCCCTGTGATTTATTTTAGCCAGTATGGTATAGAAGTGAAGAGACACCTTGAGCATCTCTGCTTTCTTTCTTGAACTCTTCTCATCCTCCTTAAGACAAGCACAAGCTAGCCCGTTACAGGATCAAACATCATAAGAAGAGCTGATGACCCCCAGCCAATACCCAGTTAACCCCCTCAGAAGGTGAAACATCTAGCCAATCTGCAGCTGACCATGAGAACCCAGGTAAGATCAGAACAACTGAACTGATCTCAGCCTAATTTTCTCTAAAATTGTGAGCAACACGAGCCACCAAGTTCTGAGTGGTTTGTTACACAGCAATAGTTAACCAGTAGGACTCACTCCAAGTATGCCCGCCACTTCAGAAATGCAGCAATTAAGCTTTCTACTGGAGTGAACCAAACCAAACTATCTATACCTGGGGCAGGGTTAAGAAACCCGAAGCTCTTCAACAAAAGTCATGGAAGATATTAAGCTTTTTTTTTTTTCTCTTACTTTCAAGAACCTGAGTGCTCCATCTAAAAATAATAGAGGCTATCCCCATGCTTATTTCTAAGAAATTGAATCTACTGATCTTAAACCTAACACTAGTATCGCCTTGCATTTAAGTGGCATTTTACAATTCGTACACCACTTAAAAAAAAAAAAACTAATAAGTATAGACAGAGCTGGTATCATTAAGCTCATTTTATAAATAATCAAATCACAGGGGCAAGTTAAATGACTTTCACAAGTACAAAGTGGCAAAGCTACAATACTTACAACTACACCTACAAACTTTCACTACTCTTCCTCAGAGCTCTTATACTAAAATCTTGGGTCAGGATTGGTATATCATTTTTAAAGTATTTAGTTCATTAAATTAATGAGGTACCACTTCTTTTCTTATAAAAGGAGGCATAACATGACTTAGCTTAAGGGTTGTTCTGAGGAGCAAATAAAATAATGTATAAAAAGCACATAACACAATGCCTAACACAAATGCTAGGCTCCCTGTCACCATTCACCATGATAAGGCTCTCATCCAGACTTGATAATCTCAACCCTCATAGCACAGAGCATCACTTGAAATGATAAACTTTCAAATAGTTAGCATAGGCAAATTTTATTTCTATGGTAGAAGTATTTATTTCAGTTATAGAAAAATAACACTATTTCAAAGTCAAGGTAACTAGGCAGAACTATACTTTTTCTTTGTATACCTATATTCAAATATCACATATGGTTTCAAGACGTTCTTAAATTAACAAGGAACAAATGCAAAATCAAGGTAGTATCTGTGAACAGAAGAGATGTATTAAAGCTACATAACAGCCCTGGAAATCAGGAAATACAAAGTGATCTCGTGCAGTGATTCTTAACTTTAGTGTACATTAAAATCACCTGGATTGTGGAAAGAGCACCTTCCGGAGACTGAGGGCAAATCATCAAGTTACGCAAGCCCTTGGTTTCAGAATAAATGCCAAAGAGACTGAAGATATAAACTTTGTTCCTCAGGGAGGGGCAAAGATAAAAATACACCACAATATATGAGATCAGTCATTTATTCACTGTGTGACTTCTCTGAGCCTTAGATTCAGAAATAATATTAGATATACTACTCTCAAGAATTATTCTATAGATTAGGTCAGATAGTGCTTCTCTAATTCATAACACACAACTACTATCATTATTTCATCATCATCATCTGATTCAGCAGACTTTCTCTCCTGACTCTCACTTCTACTCCCAAACAGCTACTATTTATTTTAAAAATCAAATTCACTGAGTTCAAGCTCATGTATTACTGGTACCATTTTTATATTGGTATCATTTTTACTAGCTTCAACCATTCATTTTCATTACAATTTCAGCACATGGTTGAAATGATAATTTTTGTATCTAAACTGAGAAAATGGATTCAAAGAAGAAAGGGAACTAAAGCTTAAAAAATGTGTTGCTTCTAAAACATCAATAGCTACATGAATCAACTGCTTTTCAAAATGACCCATTTTAGACAAACTCTGATGTTCCTTATACTGTTTATTTATTCAGTTCTGAATCTTGGTTTATAGATGGAAACATGAGAATAAAATACCTATACTCTTCATCACTTCCTATAATCTATATACTACACAGTAATGTTTCATAGTTAAAGTTTTTGGCCATTTAAGTAACTACCCACATAAACATCTGAGGTTTTAATATTCTGAAACTATAAAACAAAGCTATAGAGGTGCACAGTCAGGCTAGGATAGGGTTCCTCACCCTTAGCAATACTGACATTTTGGGTTAAATAATTCTTTTTTGTGGGGGGTTGTCCTGTGCATTGCAGGATGCAGGCATCCCTGGTCTCTATCCATTACACGCCAGTAGCAAACCACCCCAGTTCCCAGTTTTGACAACCAAAAATGTCTCCAAACATTGCCAAATGTCTTCCGGGGGCAAAAATCACCCCTAGCTGAGAACCACTGAGCTAGAATTTTACATAGATATAACTGTAATCTCTGAGTGCACAGATTATACAAGCTCTATGTAATTTTACTAATTTAAGTACAGCACAATAGTTTCTGCTATACTGTTTAAGCTAGGGCACATAGTTTTTATATAATACACTACTTAAGCATACAGTTACCCACACATAACTATCTTTTTCCTATTGAAAACACTGACATTGAATGGGGGGAAAAAACATAACTAATCCTGCAACCATTTTCCTATTACCCAATATAGAGAAAATCCTATGGTTTACAAAAATTTGCCAAATGCAGACCTAGATAAATCACTGCAAGTGTCCTTCCTTCTGAATTCGAAGTCTCTCCTTCTCTACTTGTAAGCGTTCCTTTTCAATCTGTAGCTTCTCTGATTCAAATTTCAAAAACTGCAGCCTATCTTTTTCTAGTTGCAAGCGTTCTCTCTCAAGTTTTAACTTCTCTGTTTCTATGTCCTGCGGCTGAAGTATGGACTTCTCTCCTTGACCAAGTTCATTCTCCAAGGATGGCTTCTCTGAGTTGACTATCTGCAACCTCAACTTCTCTCTCTCAATCTGCAGCCGCTCCTTCTCCAACTGAAGCCGCTCGTGCTCCATGTCTAAATGCCGTAGCCTCTCTTTCTCAATCTGCAGGCGTTCCTTTTCTACCTGCAGTCTTTCAGCCTCGATATCCAGCCTTCGTTTTTCCAATTCTAGTTTCTGTTTCTCTATGCTTACAAGCAAATGGGGCTCATCATATGCAGACTTCGATGGTGTTGAGTTTAGAGTGAAAAACTCATCAATGTGGGGGAAATCAGGGAGTTCATTTTCCCTCCTGGAATCCGGGATGACTGATGACAGTATTTCTTCCTCCTCCTCAATTTCAAACTAAAGAAAAGAGAAAAGCAATTTTCAGTATTATTTCTATGTCATGGTTGTTAATTTATCCAAATAGTTCTTAAAAGCTTTTTGTATTGTTTGAGGACATAAAACCATTTACTTTGAATCTTGAATAGTATTTACAGTGAATTACTTGATGTCACTAATATTTATAATCAAAGGAAGTATATTTAGGTGAGAAGAGATTAATGCTATAAAGAAAAAGTGGAATGAGTTGGTTATGTGCTATTCTTAAGTTAGCTTGAAAATTTGGGACCTTCTTAACTGCTCCTGGACTGTAAAAAACTCCCACATGAGAACTGAAGAAATTAAATGAAAAACAGGTCTCGCAGGCTAATACTTACTTCAGGACTCTGGGGATCTCTTTCTTCCTCTTCCACTTTGACCTCAGTTAAGGATCCACCTGCATCCCTGAAATCTGCCACATTTTGCCATTCAAAATTTGTATCATTTCGGAATCCAATCTTTTCATCTATCTCTTCAGTAAGAGAGTCATCTAAATCGGATGTAGGGAGGGGAAACCCCGAACCAACCAGTTTAATGTTCGCCTTCATCCTCTTTCTCTTCATAAGCGCGCGCCAGTCGAGATACCTTCTTTTCACTTCTGTCCCTGTCCTCTGTTCTCCTTCTCCCACAGCGTTCACACACTGCGCGATCTCCTCCCAAGCCATTCGCTTCATCACATTAATTGTTGTATTGAGTTGCTTGGAAAAAATGACTTCTTTCCTTTTTGTAATTTCTTTCAAAAGGGTCTGAGTTTCTTGAACACTAAAATTGCTTTTTCTCTTCCTTTTCAACTGCTTCATTTTTCTAACTTAAATGCAGTTTTACTGTAAGAGATGTGAAAAGAATTTGAGAAATGCTACAAAGTACAAAAATCAAAGAGAATCCCTTGTTGGCACTTTGTTTAAATCAGTTTTCTGTTCATTAGTAGCACAGGCAGGCTGGATAATTCCTAAAGAGAAAAAAGTAAAAATCGATTAACCCACAACTTCTGCAGGGTATCTCAACCCAATAAGCTTCATACATAATCTTTTAAAAAACAGCTCTGAATATGGCTCAAAACTGCCTACATTTCTGTCTTTGCCAGCACCACCATAATCCAAGATGCCATTTTCTCTCACCTGGGCTGCTGTAATGGTTCCTAATTGCCAGCATTCAATCTTGACCTACTTCCTACTTCTCTAGTTCCCTCTCCCACTCTGCTCTCCCCAATGCATCTTTCCTACCCCAACACGGGCCTTTCAGTCATCAATCATAGTCCGGCTCGTTCCTTGTTCAGAGCATTCGTACACGCTGTTCCCTCTGCCTAGGAAAGGGATTCACCCTTCTTGGCCTATTTAATTCTTCCTCACGCTTCAGCTCCCAGATTAGACACCTGTTTCTCAGCGAAGCCTTTCTCAACAAGTCAAATTACTCTAACAGAAGCTATGACTACAAAACTTCCTTTCTTCTTTTTCCTTTTCTAAATATGACACTTGTGCTAAACATATAGCCAAGAGTCCTTCTCTTTCCCATTTCACTAGCAGTTTCATGAAAGCAGCAAGGTTTCTGCTCATCATGTCCCCAGAGCCTAGCAGCTTCTGGCACATGGCAGGCGCAGCATAAATAATTTTTTAATGAATGAATTAGTCGATTTGCCAGATAACCACTAGTTTGAGATATCAAAAAGAAAAATAACTTCAGACTCTGTAGAATAATTTTAGAGGAACATGGAAAGGCTGGGCTACAAAAATCAATAAAATTCAGAAAAGTTAAGACAATGTAATCTGATCAAAGAAATGACAACTACTAATATTTTACTACTTCTCAAATTAAAACTCATTTTTAGGCTAAACCTAAATAAAATTTAGGAATAAAATTTCCTAAAACAATGAAAATATTTTAAGGATACAACAGAATTAAAAGAGTAAGGCAAAAGTGGCAAGGATTTTCCTCAGCCACCCCATCTAATTAATCAGTAAAGGAAAAAGATCACCAATTAAAACAGGGAAAAACAAAACGAAACAAAACAAAAAAAAACCAGTAATTCTTAAATGCTGTGGGGACCAAAACACATTTCATGGTTCTGCCCTTCAGTGCTCACCATATCTTCACATAACCAAACACATAAACAAAAGCTCCTAATACCAAACAAAATAAGGCTGGATGCTATATTTGTTTCTAATTAATGCTTTTAATTGTTTCTCTTTCTTTGAAGAACTTCTCAGTACTTTGTAATGTAATCTCCTGGGCCATTTTAATAGCAGAGTCGAAAATCATGATATAGGCAAGTAACTGTACTTGGAGTCTCTATGAAATTTTAAGATAGTAATGTGGCAAAATTTTAAAATAAATTCTGAATGAGAAAGATCCTCTTGTTAACATTCTTTCAGGTGGATGCAAGGCAGAATGTTTCTCCATTATCCAAAAACTCATTACCAAAGCACCTGAAACTTGTGAGAAAGGCAACATTTTCAGGCCTGCCCCAGACCAATTGAATCAGAAACTCTGAGAGTGAGATCTACTAATCTATGTTCCAATAAGCCCTCCAGATGATTCTAACACATGCTAAAATTTGAGAACCACTGTGCTAGACTCACAGAAGCCAGACAAATGCTTAACACACTTGAATCTCGCACACTTTGATTTCAAGTCTTAAACGAGCGCATCTGATTGGCAGAATCTAAAGCACATCCAAAATCCTCATTACAATGGAGCTAGGAAATATGGTTTTTCTGTTTTCTAGCCTTGCATTATGGGAAAGTACAATAGGAAGCTGGAAAAGACGTTGAATGAGTCTTTTCCTTGGAAAAGAGATTTTAAAAGCAGGTAATGGGGAGAAGGGCTCAGAAAGGGATATATACACAAACCATGTTTTCTGATTTCAAATTCACTCGCTGATCACTATGATAGAACTTACTGTTCCTCTCCTACACAATAAGAGGGTAGGATGAGATTGCTAAGGTCGCTTCTAGCTCTATCATTGTATGATAATAAACATTTCCTATCAATACGAAGAAAAATACCAAATATCCATTGAGTTTCACATCCTGTCATTTAATCCCCACCAGAACACTGAACGCGAGATATCAGCATTTCTATTTATAAATAAAAATCAGAGAAGTCAAATAATTTGCACACTACGCAATTAGTTTAAATGACAGAAGTTATATTCACGTTCCCTTATGACACATCTTCCGCTTTATTAATAGCTTGTGAAAGCTAAGCTTTAGCAAGGTACTGCTTAGGTTAAGTTTTGAGGTGTCTTAGAATTTCAAAAAGAGCAGATTCTTATCTGAAAGATTCTTATGTGAAAGGTTTAGATAAAGTTCTGTAAGTAAGCAGAAAAACACTTCAAAGGTTTAACCAATTACCATGTTTTCTTTAATACCTTAATATCAGCCAATTTAACATTATTACTGTGAAAAATATTTCCCTGGTAATTGGTATTTCAAATGGTATCTTCTACTGAAGTAAAAACAATGGAGTTAAGCTAACTAAATTTAATTGAAAAATGAACAAATCTTTTTTATCACTATTTGAGCCTTTTATTTTTAGGACTTAAATGTGGACACAAATTCCTTATTTCTAAACTCTAATAAAAAAGTGTGTTTTATTATGATTTCACTAATTTTTTTGCAATTTTTCCTTTTCAAGTTCCCAGTAATCTTTATTCAACTGACTCTGTATGTATCTAATAACATCACCAAAAATATGTCCATCACTATATCTTTTTGTTTCTAGTCACTCATGTGGCATAATCATCTCCTGAACTAAAAATTCAAAAGAGCGGAAAATGAACTCTCAGGAAATCACTGTCAATTTCACACACCCACAAAAAGGCCAAAGCATGCAAAAACAAAGACTACAAGCAAACCATTTCTAAAGTAGACTTCCAAAATTTCCCCGTATTTAATAATAAAACTGAAATCCACTAATTTGGAATGTATAATCAGTGGCAGCACTTTTGACCCTTATAGTCATATATAAGCCTCTTGTCACTAGAATATAAGCAAATGTACTCATAAATTAAAATATCACCAAAAGAAGCAGTATAGTACAGTGGCTATGAGCACAAATTCTATAGTCAGATTGCCTGGGTTAGAATCCTGGCTCTGTCACTTCCGAGCTGTGTAGTCTTAGTGACTTTAACTATCTGCAAGTTCGTTTGTAATATAATAATGTTACTTCATAGAGATACCGTAAGGATTAAAGGACTTAGTAAAATATGGAGAATAGTTTCTGGTACTCACTAAATAAGTTTCCTATTATTGCATCAAAGGCAAAATCTTTAAATAATTTTGACAAAGGAAACAGAAAGGTCACAATAAAACTAGTATTGTTCTAGTTCTTAGGTCAAGTGGTAGGTCTGTGGGTCTTTATTATTAGGCTTCAAAACACGTATGCTATATTAAGGATATGTTAGGGCCTGCTGGTGTGAGCTGGCAAAAGTCAACTGTGTACTTCACTTTCCAACTCTACATTAAAAGATGTCATGTTAGGAGCTAGAAATTGGCCAACGTGGCAGTATTTATACTACAGAAATGGACAAATGTTATAAACTAGAATTTATTTTGTTGAGTGGTCAGGGAGCTAGCTGGTTTACTTACAGCTACATTATTTTTGCATATTTCAAATATTACCTAAATGAAATATTTTAACATCTATATCCAAGTCAGTTCAGTGAACATTCTTGAAGACTTGTAATTTTAGAGAACCATATTTAATTAGCACTCTAGCCTAACATTCCTTATGACTGGGTAACTATTCAGCTTTCTTCCAGAGACTGAAGAATACACATAAGGTACAATATTTATAAGCCACTTAAGAAGTGAAGCTGAAACAAAAGAAGAAATAAACAAATTGGACCACATTAAATTAAAAAGTTGTTGTACAGCAAAGGAACCAATCAACAAAACAAAAAGACAACCGACTGAATGGGAGAAGATATTCACTTATGATACATCTGATAAGAGGTTAATATCCAAAATATATAAAGAATTCATACAACTCAACAACAAAAAACCAAACAATCCAATTAAAAATGGGCAGAAGATCTGAACAGATATTTCTCCAAACAGGAAATACAGATGGCCAACAGATGAAAAGATGCTCAAGGTCACTAATTATCAGAGAAATGCAAATTAAAACCACGATGAGATATCACCTCACACCTGTCAGAATGGCTCTCATCAAAAAATCAAAAAACAACAAGTGTTGGTGAGGATGTGGAGAAAAAGAAACCCTCATACACTGTTGGTGGGATTGCAAATTAGTATAGCCGCTATGGAAAACAGTCGGCAGGTTTTTCAAAAAATTAAAAATGGAAATACCTTTTGACCCAGCAATTGTACTTCTGGGTACTTATCCCAAAAAAAGCAAAACAAAAATTTGTAAAGATCTATGCACCCCTATGTTCATGGCTGCACAATTTACAATAGCCAAGATATGGAAGCAACCTAAATGCCCATCAATAGACGACTGGATAAATGAGTTGTGGTTCATATATACAATGCAATATTACTCAGCCATTAAAAAAAAATGAAATCCTACCATTTGCAACGACATGGATGGACCTAGAGGTTATTATGCTGAGTCGAATAAGTCAGACAAAGATAAATACCATATGATTTCAATTTATATGCAGAATCTAAGGAACAAAAAAACAAACAAATCAAAAACAAACTCACAAATATATAGAGGACAATCTGGTGATGGCCAGAGGGGAGGGAGGTTGGGGAGCTGGGAGAATGGAGTGAAGGGTTAGAGAAGTACAAATCAGTTGTTGATAGATGGTCATGGAGATGGGAAGCACAGCATAAGGAATGCAGTTAGCATTGATGTAATGGCTAAGTGGAAAACCAGAAGAGAGAAGGAGCAATTAGGAGGATCATTTTATAAACTATATTAATGTCTAACCACTGTACTGTATACTTGAAACTAATAATATAATAAAAAAAATTTTAAAAATGACCAAAAAAAGGAAGAGAAGCAAACAGATTTATATATAATTAAACCAGCCCCAAAATACTACTTCTTAGTACCTATGTTGCAGTATTCTTCAAAGAATTACTGAAGTCGAAACTTGGCCTTTTCCTTTTTCTGCCATTTGCTCCATCACTATGAAGATCTGAGACATATGCAACCGATCTGCTCAAAAGGCAGTATGTTCAGTATGGAACACCGTGCCTAACAAATATGAGGTAAAAATGTAATTTAAAATAAGAAATCGATTGAAGGATAGGGAAGAGAGAAGTAAAAAAAAAAAAAATAACTTAAACACTGGAAATTCTACAGGCAAAGTATATGTTTAAAAGAAAAAGTCAGCTCAAGTCAATATAGGCAAGAAGCAGTTTATGAGATTAAGTGAAAACTTTAGATAAACTACCCGACCTATAGTACAAATGGTTAACAAGTTACACAAAATCTGAAAAGAAAATTTTAAGTAAACAGGTTATGTTGCTACTTAGGCAGTATGGCCAACGATGGGCAGGTTATAAGACATATTTTCAAAACAGAATCTGCAGGTTAGATGTTCTTAAAAATAGAACAGAGAATTAAGGTTATATCAAATTCCATATCAAATTAAATACTTACCATGTATTAAGAATGACTTTTTGTTTCCAAAAGATATAAAATGGCTCAGCTCATTTAAATAGTTCTTTGAACCATTTAAAAAGCACTATCATATTTTTAAGGCAAAAGCATGATAGAAATACAAATATTCATTAATAGGGACTGGATGAATAAACTATACTATAGCCATATAATGGAATATATGTGATAAATGCCATATTAGAGTATGAATATAGCTAAGTGTAACATTATTCCTGTGTAGATCCTAGCGTTAATGTAAGTCAACAAAATCAGAAAGGGAAATGTATATGTATGTCTATGTGTGTGGTCACACTCACAGCAGCTCAATTTTCAACTTAGGAACAGGTGTAGACAGAATATGCTCTACTCTACAATAGGTTTACTCTCTGTCCACCACCAATCACCTGCTCTAGGGGTCACATAAACAATCATTTCTGTCTCAGCCATACAGCTGTTCGTTAGCCCAGAGAACATTTGTTTTATTTTACTTTGAGGTGATTAACATTATGTTAAAAATACTAATAAGAGATTTTTATTATAGAAAAAGACATTTTTCTAAATCTCTTAAACCCAATACTCACAAATTTGTTGACTTAAAAAAAAAAAGCAAAGTACACATATATGGTTAGAAAAAGGTACAAAACAAAGTGAAAATCTCTCTCCACCACCAAAAATTAATATTAATTTTTTCAGATTCTTTCCAGAAAATTATACATTTATAAGAGCATATATGTATCTATGAACACACATTATGCATTACATATATTACATGAATACATATTCTATTCACAATCATTAACCAAAAGGGCAATGACTACTGAAAATGTTGAGACGTAAAAGTATAAAAAAGAGAATCAGTTAAAAACTGAAAAATTAGATGTATAAGAATGACTCTATAGGACAAATAAAGAGACAAAGAGGGAATTATGAATATAAAAACTTATCGGCTTCTATAATAAAAAATAATCAAGATGAAAAAAATTAAGAAATTGAAAAAAATTCTGAAGATACTGTCAGAGCAGTGTCTCTCAAACTTTGTGTATGAATTGCCTGGAGTTCTTAAAATGAGGTTCTAATACAGTAGGTCTCAAAAGGGGCCAGTGATTCTATATAAATGACAAACTCTCAAATGATGCTGATGCTGCTGATCCTTGAGCTACACCTTCAGGAGCAATAGTTTAGGCTAATACAGCACTGTCCAACAGAAATATGTGACCTGCACATGTAAGTAAAGCAAAAATGAAACAAAAAAGGTGGAATTAATGTTAATATATTTAACCCTATATAGTCAATGTATTATCATGTCAATATATAATCAATATAAAAATTATTAACGAGGAAGCTCCCATTCTTGTTGTTAACACTAACTCTTTGAATCCACCATGTATTTTACAGTTAGGGCACATCTCATTTTGTATTAGACACATTCCGAGAACTCAATAGCAGGTCTACAGCACATCAAAGTCGCCAGAGAGCTTTTTAAATATAACCATTCTATAACCATTCCCCATCTCTGACCAATTAAAACCATCTTTGGAATAGAACCAATAGAACCAGGCGCTGAGAGTTTAAAAAGCTCTCCTGTAAATCTAAACCATTCTCACCACACACACACACACACACACACACACAAACACACACTTAACTATGTGAGGTGATAGATCTGTTCATTATCTCGACCTTGGTAATCATTCTGCGATGTGTTATGTATATCAAATCATCATTGCTGTACAGTTTAAATATATACAATTATATTTGTTAATTCTTCAAAGCTAATAAACCCTCTCCAGGTGATTCTCATTTGCAGCCAGGATCAAGAATCAACCTGCTAGAAAATCAGTGTTAAAAGCTTACTTGCTCGAATGTGTAGAGAGGCAAGGTGGAGTGCAAGTGCTATAGCTAACTACTAAGAAATTTTCCTTCAGAGATCATTAAGAAAAGGCCTCATCTGCCACGAAAGACTAACAACATAGACAAAACTGGTCTCTTTCTAGAAAAATATGCCCAGTAGAATGTCAGATGCAAGAAGAATATGCCTAATTGTAAAGACCAACTCATACTCCTATTTATTGGAAACACATCAAAGGAATACAAACTAAGTCAATTTAGACTTAAGAATCTGACTGCTCTTTCGAGAACCAAACTTCCTTCTAAATAGAATGTCTTTAGACGCCTCCTTATATCTTTATTAGAAAGAATTAGGAGTATACATCAGAAACAACCATTATTAGATTGAGTAATTAAGACACATTGCTTCATTCAATATGTATTGAGTGCTTAAAACCTTCCAAAGCTTCTCCATACACTTAGGAAGTAAATTTTCTCTCCCTACTCTTCCTCTCCCTTCTACTCTCCCTATTCTAAACCCTATCTGAGCCCCATCTCCATGTCCACCTTTGCCAGTCTTATCTGTCACCTCCAAAACCAATCCCAAATCCCCAACCTACTTTCCCAACCCACCCTCTCCAACACGAGTGGGCGCAGAGACACACACAGTACCCATCATTTTGAAATTCCTCTAAATTCTAATTAGCACTGTCCAATAAAAATACAACAAGTCATATATATAGTTTTAAATCCTCCTGCAGCCACATTAAAAAAAAGAGAAACAGGTAAAAATTATGATATACTTTATTTAACCTAATATATCAGAATATTATCATTTCAATACATAATCAATATCAAAAGTAATTGAGATAGCTTGCATTCTTTTTTTGTACTAAGTCTTTAAAATCCGGTGGGTATGTTCCAGTACATTCTACAGCTCAGTTTGGACTAGCCGCACTTCAAGTGCTCAATAACTATATGTGGCTATTGGCTACTGTATTAAACAGCAGGGTTCTAGCTTTCATGATCCCTGCCTTAGGACAATCATACATGCATTTCTTTAGCCCATTCCCCCAACTTTCATGATCTCTGCTCTTCTGTCTGGTCAATGACTATTCATCTTCAGCACTTCAATGTCTGTTCTAGGATGCCTTCACTGTTCCCAGTCACCTAAATCCAATGTCTTTGCGACATGCTTCTACTATCAAGCTGTATTATAATCATTTATTTTACAAAAGAGGCAATAAGGGATGAAAGATGAATATATTACTCCTACTATCAAATAATGTATAACCAAGTAAAACCAGTAAAACACATATGCATAAAAAAATTACGTGAAAAATTAGACTGGAGACTGTAAATTTAAAGTTGTGAATATGGACTATGTAGGCTTGTATATTAATTCTACCACTTACTGACTCTGTGATCTAAAGCAAATACTTAATCTTTCAAAATCATTTCCTCATCTGTAAATGAGAAATATATAATATATTAATACTCATGTTTTGAGGATTAAATGATGTCATCCAGTAAAGAACCTTACAACGCCTAAGATCTAGTAAGCTCTTAATAAATATCAGCTATTATCCATTTCCTAGTAGTGTCTGGACACAGTAATTGACTATTTCTTTACTAGAGTAATAATGCGAATATATGACGAGTGCAACAAGAGCAGTACTAACAAAATACCCTGGGTGCTCAGAAGGAGAAATCTTTGGTGGGATCAAAGAAGGTGGTGAGAAGGAATTAGTAGTATTTGATTTGGATCTTATAAAACAAATAGACTAATGAGGGTCGGTATAAAGGGGAGAAACTAGGTTGGGGGCAAATGTCAGCAAATTAATGTTGGCTTAGTAAGACCCTATACTTTGCTAGAAAACTTACTGCAAGAGACAAAAATGTATCTACAAAAGTTCACATATTTCTGAAATTCAAGCAGGTTACCTTTTAAATGGAGGCAATGTTACTGTAATAATATATAAACTATAATAATATAAAACATAAGTATATAAAATATCAAGTAATGACTACAGTTGTCAAGAGAATCCTAATTTATGTGGATATCCATCATTAGATTTTGTTGCTCTTAGAATATGAGATCAATTTAGTAATTGGATGTGGTAAATTTATTGGCACATGGCAGAAATAACAGCTCTTTTAAAATATGCCTGAATCAACATATTTTTAAAGTTTTGGCAGCAGGTTATTTGCATGTCCTATTTTTTCCCAACAATTTCTAACTCTATACCTCTCTTACAAAAGTGATCCCTTTGTCCCTGTTTTGTTAAAGTGATAAACTATTTCATAGACAAAACACACTTTAACACACATTTTTAACCTCATTGAAATTGGTATCAGGATGTATCTTAGATTTCCAGTCAGTTATGGCTAACTTGTGTAAAAATATTTGACATCTTCTGCTAATATAAGAAGTATCAAAATCAATGCACCTTGAATTGAAATTTGGTAGCTATGCTTACAGGAATAGAATCTATCTTTCCAGGAATTTTCTTTTCTGTCCTCTCCTTTACATTTTGATACTCATATCAACAGAGCTTGGGTTTTATGACATCCATTACCAAATAATTTGCTGAAATATTTATTGAGCTCCTACTATGTGCCAGGCACATATTCTTGGTGTTAGGGATATAACGTTATAAAATGTGAAAAAATACCATTTTATATGTCAAATACTATCCTTTTTATATTGGTTGTCTTCTCTATCTTTATAGAAGGAACTCATTAGTTGCAACCTCTAAAAATTCATAAATCTTCCATGCCCGATCAGAGAGAACAGCCATTTTCCTGAAATTACAATCATTCTTTACTGGTTGGAAGTTCGTATGATAAGTAGTTCACTTACGTAATCCTTGTGAAGATGATGTACCGCCAATGGGATATTATAACTGGGAAATTTTTTTCAAGGACTAACACTTGAGAATGAAGTTCCTAAATACTGCGTGGTAAAACAGAATTAAGAGGTCTGAGGAAAATCAGGCAGTAAATTCTCGGTCCAAAAGAATTTTTAGGTAAATTCATTAGACTATTCAAGAAGAAAAGCATGACGAAATCTGTAAAGTTCCCCCATCCCTTATCCCAATCCTCTTTAAAGTGTGTACCCCAATCCGCTCCCATGTTCTTACAGAAAATTTACTTCCGTGCCGAATAAGATGCTCTTCTCTAAAACTTGTGGTACGTAAAAAAAGTAAAGTTTACTTAGGGTCGTCAGTTATCAGATTAATAAAGTACTCACTCCCTCCCTGCCGCTTCCTTTGGGAACACCTTGTCACAGCCCCTGGGAAGAATCGAAGGAGACTGAATTCCCGGGAGGCCTCCCAGGAGCAGGGGGCGCGCACCAGACTCGGTCACAACGCAGCGGCTGCACCTGGTGGGAGACGTAGCAACCTGGAAGGAGGTTCCTCTCTCTGGATACTAAATCGTAGTTCCGACTAGGTGCCCAGAAACTTGCGCTGCCTTGTTTCAGCGGCCTGGGCCCGCCCCCCCCCCCGGGTCCGGCGGCAGCCGCCGCCACTGGTACTACTCCCAAGCGTCGCGGTCCCGCTACGCTGCAGAGCCAGGGCCAGAGCCAGCAGCGTGAGGCCAGTCACCTGCCGCTGACCCCGTCGGGACCCCCCGCTGCGAGGGCACCCACCGTCAGCAGAGACGCCGCTTCCCTAGCCGCCTCCTTCTGGACGGAACCGCACACCTGCGACCCGGCTGCACCTCCGCCCCGTCGCCTCCAAGGGGAGGTAAGAAAAAAAAGATGCTTCATTGATCCCCTCCCACCTACTTTGCCCGCCCACCCCTTCTGCCACCTATTGGCTAGCGCGGCTGCCACTCGTTCTTTGCGGCTTGCCCATTGGTCCTGAGGGTATTGCTATTCTGGCTGACGGCCCGCCCCAGGTCTGGCCTCACAATGGGATTCGAGTCCCAAACCGGTTCCGGGTTAGTGCCCTTGAATACCGCCTCCTTATGATTTGCGGCCTCCCGCTCTGCGCTGTCTTTGGCACCCAGCTCTGTCAGTCAAATGGGCTTTAGAAAAGAATTGGCCTCTAGCGATCAGCCTACTGCGCTGTTCCGCCTGATTGGGACACTGGCGCTCCATCTCCAAACTCTGCACTTGTCCCTGACCTTCACCTTTTAAAAGGGCGAAGAGGAAGTAGGACCCTTACATTTCCCCAGCTGATTCCTTGCCCAGCGTCTCTTCTGTTCCATCAAGTGCAACCTAGTTTGGCCTCAGCTATTTCTCTGAGACTGCCCCTGCCAAAGGTCACTGGTGATTTCCTTATGGCTAAATCTAGGCGTCACTTCTCAGTCCTTATCTTACTTGACTCCTCAAAAAGCATTGGACTTGTTCACTGTTTCTTCATTGTTTTCCGTAACATGTGCTTTTGGTTTTCCTTCACCTCGATCCACTTTTCTGTCCCCCTTTTCAGTTACCTCTTTTGCTGTCATCGCTAGTTCTTGTGTTACTAATGGGTCTGTCTTCCCATTGACTTTGTTCGGGCCTCTGTTGAGATCCTGAATTGTATCAGTAGCCTCCTAACTGGGCTCTTAGTATCTTGCTAGCCTGACTGTAGTCCATTTTTCATGCTGTAGCCAAGACGGGCTGCTTAAAATTCTTTAATAGAATCACACTAATGATAAACTGCTGAGTCTTTACAAGAGTCTTCTGCTTTTCCCTCAGGCTTCATCTTTTATCAACATTCCCCCTTTTCCTTCTTCTTTCTTCCTTTCCCCAATTCCTTCGCCTCTTTCAGTTCCTGTACTTGACAGTGGCTTTGGAACTTGGTTTGCACTGCATTGTTTCCAAAGATTTCTGTTGGTCTCCTTTCTGCTATGCCCAGGATTGCCTTTAGAAGTTATTTTCTGCAGGAAGTCTTCCTTTCTTTCCATTCACTTTATGTTCACTTCTAAGTTGTCCCTCTAATATAGGTTTTCTGGATAAGAGGATGCTCAGCTAAATTTGAATTAAAGTAAATTCATATAAATAATAAATAATTTTTAGTATAAGTAGGTCCCGTGCAATATTTGGCATCGTGTATTTTTATTTGCTAAATCTGGCACCCCTTCCAGCGTGCTCCCATCACACTCAGTACCTTCCTTCTGACAGTTCTTACATGTTCCATGTGCATGGATTTTTCTTGTTACTGTTGTAATTTCTTTGCCTAGCACAGTGCCTAGAATATAATAGGCACTCAAAACAGATTTGAATAATGGAATATTCTGGATGAATGGTGAATCCTTGCTGGATATTCCTGGAAGAACTCTTTTCCATGAAGTAGGAAATACTTGTGAAAGATGCTCTTTGAAATGTAATGATCAGTTTAATCTTTCAGACTTTTACATAAGATTTTGTGAATGAAGCATGTCTATACTTTTGTCTAAATAGAACAAAAATAAAATTTATTGTTTTGGATAACCATGAGAACATATATTTTCCAGTTTTGTTTTTTGCATGTGGTAGGTGTTTTGGGGTGAGTGCAGTGAGATAGTAAGAGAATTATGTATCCCCATTATGACCAGACAGACACTTTCCCTTTGTCCCCTTGCAGAGTCTGTTCATCATTTCAATCTATTTATTTACTTCTTTAATAGGGATAAGGCCTAGAATCAGTATGTTTTAAGAACCTTCTGCTTTCATGTCATGAACTCTTTAAGCTTTCCGCAATTAACCTCCATCTCCTTGCTGATTCCAAGACCTTTTCTAGATATCCTCACTATTTTTTCTCAGCTATATCTTGTTTGAGTGGATGCGGATCAACAAGGGAGAGATTAATGGTAATCCAAAATGCCTACTATTAGTACCCAATTACCAACCTGATAATCCATTTACTGATTCGGTTTTTGTTAACATTAATTTCAGGCTAGAGATTTGACCGAAAGGTACCTGTACACTTATTTATTCCAGAATTTACCTGTCCAACTGTGGTTGCCACTAGTCAGATGAGCCCTTGAAATGTGGCTAGTGCAACCAAATAACTAAATTTTAATTGTATTTAATTTTAACTAATTTTAATTTAAAAACATTCAATTCAGTGACGAGATAACTTCTAAGTATGTTTGGAAAACTTGAGTTATGTGAATCTACTTTTTTCAACTAAATTTTTTGAAATTTATATAAGATTGAGTATTTCTGATAAAAAAATTAGCATCTGAATTGGGATGCGCTGTAAGTATAAAATATACACAGGATTTCAAAAATTTAGTATACAAATGTAAAATGTCTCGATAATTTTTATATTGATTATGAGTTGCAATTACAATATTTTGCATTTTTAGGTTAATGAAATTATATTATTAAAATTAATATTTCCTTTGTTTTTTTTAGTTTTTAAAATGAGACTAATAGGAAATTTAAACTTACATATGTGGTTTGCATTATATTTCTATTAGACAATTCTGTTCTTGATTGTGCCTCGTCACAGCTTATTAAAAGTCTTAGAACAAGAAGTTAACTAAAATATTTCTGTTTTGTAGGTTATTATGTAACCAAAGGGAAAGAAAAAAAAATCACTTTTTTTCATGTCACATCTCTCCTCTAAACGCAATTTAGTTCAGAATAAAACCCAGCGAACACATTATAACATATACCAGAAATTGCATCAAACAGTATCATGCTGTTTTCAATCTCCATTTCTGCCTATGTACATGCTGTTTCCTCTTCCTTTGTATATGCCCTGCTTCCTCATCTTGTCCTTATGACACACTCATTCTCCTTCAAAACCTGCTCTTCGCTGACAACCTTAGAATAGATTTTCCTTTTTTAATATGAGTTTTATGCTTATACACATTCTATTTATATATCATACTGTATTGCTACTGCCTTTAACCTTTTTATCGCTATCACTTAGCGCATTACCTGGTACTTAGGCTGCCAAAAATATATTTGATGAATTGAACTGAACAAGATAAAACTCAGTCTGTTTTGTCCTCTGTGGTGTTCTACCAAATTCTTTGCAATTTTCATCATCCATCTGGTAAATTATAATGGTTGGTAAAATGACATTGAAAGCTTTTCATCAGCAAATTTCATGTTTCTAAAAAATTTACATTGAATGGAAAGCCAGTATGGTTCCTATAGAAATTATTGCAATTTTTCTTTAGATTTTATTTTTCTTATAGCTGAGAAAAATAGGAAATGTTAGAACACGAGCTATTTAAAAATGGTAATCATAATAGCTAGAAGTAGCATTGGTAGCTTTTAGTCTCAAAAGTCAGTCTGGTATCAAATCTTGAGAAGTAGATGGGTCTTGGCATTCCAACCGGTATCAACTGTAGTTAGGTTGCTATTTTTGTTTATGATGGGAGGATTGGTTTCTACTGGGATAGCCTATGAAATAACATGAGCCAGCGGTTATTAGGAGAATCATTACCAATACTTTTTTAGTAAATCATCCAGTTCTTCACTCTAGTACACCTATAAATGAAGTTGCCCATGGAAGAAACGATCAATTATAAATCTAGTCTTGCAATTTGGAACATATGCCCTGGTGACTTCCTATTTGGATCTCATTTTTAGAAATTGCTTTTGGTATAGACACATTTTTGGTTTATGTCTCCTGTTTGTCAGCCAAAGGGGCCTCTTGTTGAATAATTTAGTAGTTTTGTAGGATGACCACTCTTTTGAATCCCCCGTGGAATGAATTTTAGTTATGCAAATAGCTTATATTTTAAATCACCCATCCCAAATACATCCTGAATATTTAGCGAAGATTGATCTTGCCCTTTTTGCATAATATATTAATAAAAAATATATTAACAAAAAAGTATAATCTTTACATTTAGTAGTAAGGATTAATCATAATGTTTTCTAAGTTTAGGATATTACTGTGACTTTTTGTAACCTCCTGCTGTGTTTATGCATGTGCGTTCTTGAGTTCCTTTTATAGGACTTGTACAGGTTTTTGGAGTTAGGAGGTTTTCCTTCACTGGCGAGTTCTCTTTCCTCAACTCCTTTAAAAAAGAAATATGAAATACTATTCTATGCCAAGTATCGATCTAAAGACTTCATATACATTAATCTATTTAACTATTATAATAAACTTATGTAGAAAGTTATTAGTATTCCTCACACTTTTTTAGATGAGGAAACTGAGGCAAAATGATGTTAAATTGCTTTCCAAGATTGCAGATAGTAAATAGCAGAGCTAGAGTTTAAACTCAGATAATCTATACACTTAAACCTCACATTGTACCATCATTCAAAATGAATGTGATTGCTTACCTGCAAGAAGATTACTTTAAAGGTAGTCAAACATTTGAAAGATTTTTGTGGAGTAATGGGATAATAAAACTCCCTCCACAAAACATCATCTTTTTCCTAATATTTGTTGGACTGTGTTGTGAACTCCTCAAAGGCAGAAATCATGGCATTTGTCTTTCTTTTATCCACAGCACCTAGCACACCTTGCATTCTTGTTTATTCTCAAATAAATTTAGGTTTTGGGTAATGGAATGGACAATAGTTATATAATTCCGTTGAACCAGTAGCTTTAGTCAATGAATCTATCATTAGTTAGCAACTGATTAAAAGCTTTTCTGTACTGCATTGTCTATTGCTTTTACTTCACTTCACCAATGTCCATGGAATACCCTCTAAATACCACAGCCTGTTTTGTGCACAGTCAAATTTGTTCTCGATTTTTTTTTTTAAATTCAGATTCTTTGTCTGTGGGGAGTAATAGAGGTTGTAATCAATATAACCCAACTTGCCTTGGGTTACTCTACTCCTTTAAATTTTTTAGAGACAAGAGCTTTGATTCTTGGCATGA